ACAGGCCATGCAGGCTGGTGACACTGAGTCCTCACCACACAGGAGGAATAAAGAGATGTAAAAGGGGAGACAGGAAAGAAAAGTTTCTCCTATACACTCCTGGCACAAACCCAGGTCTTATCTCCAGCCAGTTTCAGAGGCCTGTGAAGGTGGGTGCAGTGGTGATGCCATTTTACTCTCTGGCCCTGCTGCCTTTTGGTTTAGTGGGACAACCTTAGTGTCAGTGGTGCGAGCAGCAGGAGCCAAAAGGCTGGAAGAGTTGCTTCTGACCCACTTACCCTGCTCCACAGACAATGGGTGAGGCCATGAGCCTCCAAGAAGAGCTGATAACTTCTGTTCCTAGCCTGCAACATGTGCTTGGTTGCTTGCTCACAGTGGGTGCTTGCAGGCAATTTACACCACATGAAGCAGCAGCTCTGAGCAAGCTGCTTCAAAAGCAACCAGGAAGATCCAACACTCTCAGTGGGGAACATTCTCACCTAAATAAAAAGGACCTCTTTGCTGCTGGATTTCCAAACACCAACACCTCACAGCCTGGTCTCACCACCGTGAGAGCCCTGTGAGGTCCTGCTGCATTAGCTCCCTGCTAAAGGGAAGTGCTGCCTCTTCCCAGCCACCCTACGCAACGCAGCTACAAACTGTGCTCCAGATGTGGGCTCGGTTATAAAGGTGAAGTCTCAGGTAATCACCTGGTTCTGGGAGATGGGACTTGAAGAAGGAAAAGCAAAAACTAATCTTCATAGCAAAACAATGGGAGTTTGTAGGATAAAAGGACAGCCTGAAGTCTCCCTTGATTCAGCTTCAGGTGATTAAAGCTCAAGACAAATAGATTATGGAAAAATTGGCCAAACCTGAGACCAAAAGCAGGATTAATAGAGGAAGATTCATGATCTTCCTTTCTGAGATACTCTGGAAACAATTCTGACCACTCAATAACCCACTGAATTTGCCCCTACCCTTTCATTCTAGCTTACATTTGCTGCAGAGCTGTGGTTTATGTGCTTGGAAAGTTACACAGCCTCCCTCTTTGGGGACACCCTTGTATCAGATATTTTGCAGCACTGCCAGAAATAACCAAACCCTTCATGAACTAAAGGGTTATTGCTGGCATGGAATTGCCTTTGCTCCAACTACAGAACCTCATTTTTCTCTCTTGCTTCCGATTGTGCTTTCATTGTTGATGATTTGTATGATTAAAACACACCCTCGTACCCTGGCAACAGCAGCGAAACCTGAGGCTTCAAACTCAAAGAGGAGAATCTGGCAAGGTGCTAAAACTATATTGATTTGGACTGGGTATAAAGCAAACGAGTTATGATGGTGATTTAGAGTAATGCACAAGTTTGTCTCGAGTAATTTGGAAATGGCAGTATCTAAAGTAAAGCTTAATGTGCTTTCAAGTTCTGCAGTGGGCAAATGTTGCTGTTATTCTGTTCCAAACAGCTTGAAAAGGAATATTCTCATGTAAGCAGATTATTGAAGTCTGAGAATCTAGATTTTAAGAGGCTTTTAGTATTAAATGCTGCAAACCCCTGATACTACATATAAGGCTCAAATCACCTTTGAGATTCAGATGCCTAACTCCCATAGAAACTGAGTTCAGTATCCCAATACATGCTTGACTTACGCTGTAGTCTTTAAATGAGCTAATTTTCAGTCAGAACTTCAGTGATAAGAATCACCCTCTGGTTTTTCTCTACGTAAGGACAAGAGAGGCTGGAAAACATCTGAGCATTCAACACCACCAGCATGAGGGCAGGTCAGAGGATGGGGCATGAAGACGAACAGAGGTAAGGAAGCATGTGATGGCAACCCTCTCTTGGGCAGGTTTAAGCTGTTGCACATTCTACACATCCAGCCCTTTGCTATCTCAGAGAAGTGCCAGTCACTTGGTTAAGCCCAGGAGAGCTGCAAAGATGTGCACAGGGATACACAGAGGGAGAGCCAGCAGGTCTGGTCCCCAGCTACCACAAACACCCAAGCACTGTGACCCCTCAAGCAGCTCTTCACTTGTGGTGGAATGTGCCATGTGTGGCTTTTGCTGTGAACCTTTGTGGCATCCCATAAGAGCAGTGTATGTTTTTGCACACTTTGAAAAGTGTGAAAAGCAGTAATGTGTTGCCTTTTATTTTTTTCTTCCCACTTTGGCTTATGTTCTTCAACCACACAGCAACAACACCGCAAAAGACACAGGCACTGCTCTGCATGACGAGGAAAATAAACCTTCCTTGTAAAGCTACCACTGTTTGCAAGCTGCTATTTCAAGGGACCATGTCCTAAACCCACAGAAGGGATGGTGATCAAACTATTAATCCATAGATCAAACCTCAAGGAGGAGGATGAACTCCTGCATTACATGGTCCAACCAGCCAGCTGCATTGCACTGGAGCCCCAGATGAACACTTTCCATCAGGGCAGAGGGAGTCCAGGGTGAGGAGGAAACGGCGGATGGGTCAAGGCTCAAACTGGGAAATGACACCCAGTGAAAGGCTGATAACAAAGCACTGGAATACACAGGACAGAGTAAACATTGATTCAGAGAAACCACAAGAGGAGGAGCACAGGGTGCAGATGGGACTGTTTGTGTCAGACAGCAGAATACACACTGTCAGTATTATCTTGCACTTGAGTGCATTGACATAGGGCTGTAAAGTTGCTATTCCAGGCTTGATTTAACATGTTACAGGAAAAGGGCTTAGAATAACTAGATACTCAAAACCCATCAAGTTTCTTGCAGGAAGTGGCACGATGGAGTTCTGTGACCAACAAGTGCACATCAGAATTGCTGTAGCCACACCAGAAACACTCCAGCAGGATGCACATTCTCAGAGCAGCTTGTGACAGAGCTCCTCCACAGCGAGCAGCTGCTTGGCTCCCTCTTGGGGAAAACACTGACATCAAGAAGCTGGTGGTTACCGTTACCTTACATGATCCTGGTTTCCAGGAATACTCCCAGACTTTCTGAAAGAGGCGCCTCGCTGGGAAGTCCAAACACGTGAAGCAGGCAGGTTTGGCTCCACGTGAAGCAATGCAACTGACTCTAGAGACCATTTTAACTACATTTGCTTCTGTTTGAAATGTTCTGCAGTTGGGTTCTGGGAGAGGAGCTCCAAGCCCCTGTGTCCAACCTGGCCTTGAACACTGCCAGGGATGGGGCAGCCACAGCTTCTCTGGGCACCCTGTGCCAGCGCCTCAGCACCCTCACAGGGAAGAGCTTCTGCCTCAGAGCTCATCTCAGTCTCCCCTCTGGCAGGTTCAAGCCATTCCCCTTGTCCTGTCCCTGCAGGCCCTTGTCCAAAGCCCCTCTCCAGGTTTCTTGGAGCCCCTTTAGGCACTGGAGCTGCTCTAAGGTGTCCCCTTCAGGAGCTTTCTCTTCTCCAGCTGCCCCAGCCCAGCTCTCTCAGCCTGGCTCCAGAGCAGAGCTGCTCCAGCCCTCAACTTAATCCTCAACTTAACAGACAGGGCCTGAAATCTTGGTGCTCCTTCATGCACACACACTTCATCCTCTCCCTGCCTTTCCCCTCCACGCACTGTGGCACCTACGTGACTGGCTGCATTGTACCACCACCACCACTGTACTGCAGCAGGGACCTCAGGTGACACCTTAGCCTGTGATTGTCCACTGGCATTCCCAGCCACAAGCTGTGGGTATATGTCATCTAAAGCCATGTTTAATCTGCAAGTAACTCTGAACTTATGTTTGTAGGAAGGTCTGGACTCGGCACCTTTCCATTGCCACCACTTCACCCACTCGTGGTGTCAGCAGTACCTGGACCAGGCACTGGTCAGGGCCCCAGTGAACTGTCCTAAAGAAAGACCTCACCCTACACCCTCCCCTGCAGTGTTCATAGCACTGCTTAAGAAGTTGTAATTAACAATCAGTGAGACAATAGTGAAATACTCTTGTTTTTTCCAGCTGAACTTCTCTCTCAGGAATAGAAACTCCAGATTTCCCAGGAATAAGTACAGATAAAGGACAGAGTTTTCCTTAGGCAAAGCGAGTGAATTATATCGAATGTGTGATCTTAGATGCTTGTGCAATTTTGTTTCAAACTATAGTTTGCTGCTTTTCTAGTCCCTTTGGTGTTCCAGGTCAGCACTCACGTACAGGCTAATTACCACCTGAGGGTACTGAGCAATTAGGCATAATTAATATCTCAACATTGCACCACTTCCTGATTTTATTGCTATTCCTTCCCTTCTGTAAACTGCTTAAGAGCAAAAGATGATCTGCAAAAACCAGGGTGATGAGAGCAGATTTACGTATCGTTTTTAAAAAACATTTCCAAGTTCTATTTCCACATTCTTTAACATTCCCAAGGGGCATTTTTTGCAAGAAAAACCTTCATTTCTATTAACACTTCCTTCCCCCCTTTGTGCTATGAATGCTGTGTTTGCCTGTCTCCATTAACCTCACTGTTACCACTAGGACATCCTCAGAACACAAGCTGGACCCTGGTCCTCCAGAGAGGACAGCCAGGCCTCAGCTGCAGGAAGAAGCCAGAACAGTGGCACCACCAGAGCTCAATGGCCCTGACCTCCTCCAGCACAGAGCCATGGCCAAGGAAAAACCCAACAAGGTGGTCTTCCTTGTCAGAACCCCAACAAAGTGGTCTTCACCGTCACTCCCTGGACCGGGCATGGGATGCTCCTGCACGGAGCCGGGTTGGAGACGTCCCCATCCCAACGCAGTCCATGGTGGCGGTGACCCCATCGCCACCCCTCACACCATGGTGCACCCTCCTGCTGCTCTCCCCTCCCATCCCGATGGAACCCAGCCGCTGCTGCAGGGTTTGGGAGCAGAGCGCAGAAAGCTCAGTGGAGGGCAGCACAGAACCACTTCTCCTCTCCGTGCAGCCTGCACATCCCTCCGAGCTGCAGCACGGGGGGACACCAGCTCCGCAAAGCGGGTTTTAAGGGAAGGAGCAGTGTCCTGGTCACAGACCACTCCTGTGGCTGGTTAACAAAAGACAAGCAGGGCAGGAGACGGGAGATGGGATTCACCTCTCCATGACTTCTTGTCCATTCCAGCAAAGAGTGTCGTTCTGAACAGCAGAGCTGTGGCTGCAGATGTACTCTGGTAAACTGCTGTAGAAACTGCTGTGGGACTTCAGCTTCGTGATGAGCTCCCTGGAAGAAAGGGGGAAAAGTGGTGCTCAGCTAAAAGAGGAAAAGCATCTGGTTGGTGCATTGTAACCGGTGAGAGCAGTCACACAAACACAACATGAAAGCAGTGGGTGCAAAGAAGCCATGAAGCACTGGTCTTATTTCTGACCTCAAGCAGCATTTTGCATTGTTCCCTGGTGTCATTCAGTCAAGGGCTGAATCCATGTTTCTTAGGGCACAAGTGGCTGTGACAGGAAGCAGCAGAACCTCAGCCCAACCATGCAGCACATCAGAGCCATACGCACTCTCTGTGCTTTCGCTGCACCTCAGGAAAGGTGCTGCTGGCTCAGACCTTGGGGCACACCTGAGCAGCAAGTGCCCAGGCTGCAGCAGTCCTCTCTGCTTTGCAGAAAGCAATGGAGGCCCTTCAGGAAGGGACAGCCTTGTCACTGTGTCTGCCTGACATCAGCCATTCAACGTCCCTGCAAGGGCAGGTGGCATTTCTGGCAGCAGAGCAGAGTGGAGATGCTCAGCACAGACCTATACACATGGGTCACACTGGGTTTCATGCTGCACCTTCAAAGGACCTCTGTCCCTGGCAGGTCCCCTTCAGTGCAAAGATGTCAGGACACAGGCTGACCCCAGGGATTCCCACAGCCACTAGGAAGGGGACAGGAGCTGCAGGGGTGGGATATGCCCATTCCCCAGCACAGGTCAGTCCTCTCAGAGGCACTCAGTAGCTGTCACTGGGAAATACTGGCAGATTTAATTAGGCAAACAGCAGAAAAAGGTGATCATAAGAATAGCAGGGACTGGAGGGAATAAGACTTGGCCTCATAGCCTCCTGGCTTGGGTTCAGCACATTTTCCCTTTGGCAAGAGCTTATTTCATCGCCTCCTTCCTCTCTGGGGATGATGATGAGGGAGCAACACCTCTCCCTGGGAGCACCATCAGGGGCATCCTCTTGGTGCCCGCAGCAGTGGGACTCCATGTCCTGCCAGGGTGGGACCAGGAGGAGGCATCCAGCTCCCTCCATCCCTCCGCGCCTCTCTTTGCTCGGGGATTCCGTGGGGTTTCCTCTCCATCCAGACGAGGTCCCCGACTGCCAGCTGGTGGCAGGCGAAACAAGGAGAAGCAGCGCAGCAAAGGCAGCCAGTGCTGCTCTGCTCTGCCTTTCTGCTAAGAGCAGCCTCTGGGACGAGCCGAAGCACCTCCAGAGGGTGGGAATTCAGCCCACAACCCCGCTGCACGAATCGGAGGGGTGCTCCAGACATTCCCCTCCTGCATGAACCACCCCCCGCAGCCATCTCCTGCACTGGGGCTTACGGTGGTCCAACCAACACCATTTTGAAAGCCAAAATGAGGCAAGACCTGGGCCTTTAGTTACACCAAACCCTGAACAGCACAAGTCTTAACACTGCCCATCACACCCAGCTCTTTACCTCCTAAGCACTGCCTTGCTCCCGGTCCCACAGACCCCGGCAACACTGGGGGGAACTCCCCTGGGAGCAGAGCTCCCCCCTGGGCAGGGAGGGGAAGGAAAGGGAGGAACTCCTCCAGACCTGCAAGTTTGAGCTCACAGATCTCATTGCAGCAAATTTCATTAGACTTCACAGCTCTCAAAGGACATCTCTGCAGACCCTGGGCTATGTAACCCAACATGTTGGGACAACAGAGGAATGCAAGCCCTGGTGCTGTATCTCATGGGAAGCGTAGCAAGAATGTGGTCCTGTTACTCTTTAAAGAGAAATCCATCCAACTCAGTCTATCCCCAGCTCCAAAACTTGCCAAGCTTGCCTGGTTCTCTTCCACAGGGATTCTTCTTGTACTCAGACAGCAGTAAAGGCACCGCATATTTCTGGGTGTGCTTTCAGATCCAGGGGGGAGATGCTTCTCCCTGACACACCATCATCAACTCACTGAACCACAGCTTCTGATTACACAGGGCAGGGGCACAGGGTGCAGCATCAGCAGGGGAGGCACCTCCTGCACTCCAGAAGCATTCAGGAAAAGGCTGCTAACATTCCTGAACTACCATGTCAGACTGCACGAAGAAGCGAAACGAGTCCTCCTTACCGACAGCCAGTGTTACACACAACATTCCAGCCTGGAGCGACCATTCCCACTTATAACTACACCTAAGAGCATTTCTTCCATTGAAGTGCCCAAGGAACTCAGACAAGGCATTTGTTGTATGAACCTGGGTGCAGAAAAGCAGGAGGCAGTTTTACAGGTTAAAAACAAAACAGATACACTGGGTGAGGAAACACATGGAGACACCTCACTGCACTTCAGAGCCGGCCACAGAGCAGCGCTGGTGTTCAGAGCCAAAACCAGCGGCAGGGTTATAGATAAGGGAAATAAGGAGCTCTTCCACCTGCTTCCACAGGGCCATGCTGTGCGGTGACTGCTCCTGCAGCCCATGCAGACCCCGCGCCCAGCCCCAGCACTCACCTCCTCCTGCTCGACAGAGTTTCTTCTCGCTCGATGCGAGTCACCTTCAGGACTTTGTTGTCAACAAACAGGTCTCCGGGGTAATGAGCTGCTCGATACTGCCTCTGCTGAGCGTGGCCACACAACCGGCTGAGCTGGAACACACAGACAGCAGCATGAGGAAGCGCTGGGATGAGACACGCTGCAGGAGCGTAGCTGAGCTGGGCACTGGTGCCTGCACACCCGCTGCTCTGTTGTCCCATCATCCCCGTCCCTCCCATGGCTGGCACAAGCACCTGAAGGCAAACTACTGCCCTAAGGATGCAACCTCACTCTTGTACAAATATCATATGGGAGGGAAGGCAGGAAACTTCAGGTAAGATTTTTGAGCATCAAACTGCCCCTGTGGCTATCAAAACCCATAGTAGTACATTACTGCATGTGAGATGATTCCAAACCCAGGTAGGATTAAAATGTAGACTTCTGGGTTGCAGGCACAGCCAGCAAATCCCCCTGTGTCAGATTAGGCCCATGCTGGCAGGTGGGAGCTCGAGGTGTTCCCTGATGCTCCCTTGCTGAAAGCCACATCTCAGGACTCTGTGCTCCATCTCTCTAGCCAGGCTTTTAGGTAACACTGAAGGTAAATCCTTAGACCTCGGTTCTGCATCTTGAGGGGGCTCCCAGGTGCCCAGGGACAAGCATCACACACATCATCACTAATTAAAAACCATCAGGGCCTAAAATACAGCAACAACGTGACTACAGCAGTGTCACAGCACGGGAGGTCTTGGTTAACAGGGCTGTGCTAATGACACAAATTAGCTCGTTAGCATAGAGACGGTGGTGATAGTGATGCAGGGGTGAGGGAAGCGATCCAAACACCTCATTACAGCTCTCCCGCATGGCCACTGTCCCAGGACACAACCTGCAGTCCCTGCTGCACGTGGATGGACATGCAGCAGTTTCCTTCTCTGGGAGACCACTGAGGGACAAGCGTCCCCCCGAGGCACTGCTGCTGCTGAGACTCACCTTTGGCACCCCCCTGTGCTGTTCTGCAGGGCTCATTGTGCTGGGTTCTGATTGCCAGGATCACAGCTAACACCAACCCCCCTTTCCCTGAGCCTCATCCCATACCCATGTCCAGGCTCGGGACAACCATGTAAAATGCCTGTTCCTTGCAGCACCTCATTTATCTTCACCGCACACTGAACCAAGACAGCTAGCTAAACTCCAGCTAGCTGCATTCTGGAGGCTGAAAGCACACTTGCTGCCCAAAGCTACAAGCATCTGATGTGTAAAGAGAAGAGATTAATTCTGTTCTATTACATCCTGCATTTGAGTGGGCAAATGAATTAGTAATGTCACCTCTTTCGTTATCAAGAGCACCACAGTTTGTTTGCTCAAGCTGCTGTACAACAAAGAGTAAACCAGAAACCTCCTGGGAGCTGGGCACTGCCACTTCTAGTTCACAGTGTGGTGGGAAGAGATGCTGCCCCTGCAGCTCCCTTTGCCAAAGCAGCTCCTGCAGCTGCCTGGGGAGCAGTTTCTGCAGCACCTTACCTCTTTTTGTCTCCACTGCCCTCCCTTGGCCGTGTTTCCTCTCCATCTTGCCAAACCAAGTCTTCCAGAAGAAGGTATCAGCCCTACAGCCCTCCCTGAGTCATGTGGCAGGCTTAAAAAACAGAGGAAGGGCATGAGAAAAATGCTACATTTTGGGCTGTTTTCTTTGCCTTTTGGGTTTTCCTATCATCCCTCATTCCCAGGTAGTCCCCTGACACAGGCAGCCAGGACGAGGAGGAAATCACAGGACAGCAGGAGATCTGGACAAGGGCATTTGGGATACTCGGCATGGGTACGGAAAGAGGAGGAGAGGTGGGAAAAGGTCAGATAGTTTAAGCTGCCATTTGTGGTGACTCCCTTCGGTTCTCCCCAGCTCTGTGAAAAGCCTCCCCCTTCCCTTTCCCAAAGCCTGCCTTTCAGCTGGTGAAGCCTATTGAACCCCAAAAGAAGAGGATCAAGGATGCTGAAATGCACTGAATGGGTGGGGAGGGCCAGAGCACCAGTGGGGACAATGGCACCCCCCAAGAGTGTGCTTCCAACAGCAAAGCAGCCGGGCAGACTGGAGCTGCCTTGTCTCCAGAAGGAATCACAGCCCCTCTCTCCCATCTCCAGTGAGGAGGGATGCAGCTCAGCCGCATCCTCACAGCCCTGAGTGCTCTCTGGGTACCACAGGCTGCTGCAAGGGAAGAAACCATAAACAGGATCCAGTTAGTGTCCCTGACATGGGACAGCAGATGAAATCTTCATGGAGAGAAGGTGGAAAGTTTGAGCAGCGCATCCAACTTTTCACTTATTCATCTGTTCAAGGACCAAGTAATCTTTTCAGGAACAAACCCAACCCTGCAGCCCATCTTGCAAAGTCATGGTGAAAACGATTGTCACATTTTAGTCAAACAAGAACCCGGCTGCGATTTGAACTTTAACTAAAGTGAGAGAAGGCAGCAGTAACAGATTGCAGCTCATTTGCAGGGCCGGCGTGGTGCATGCTCTGGGGGGAGAGAAGGATTTCACAAACCATCTGCCAAAGTCTGCTGGGCCACAAGTGGTCCGAGGACAACAGCTCGCAAATCCTGTTTCAGTCTTTCCCCCTTCCCGAGTCCCTGCAATACATGAACCCAGTTTCTCAGCCTCCTCCTATTCTAAAGCAAGCTCTAAATTTTACAAAGGCCACAAAAATGCCACTGTGGGGCAGTCGGAGAAGGAATGACACAAGCCTCAGACCTGGGGAGGGAAAAGGTGTGATGCTGCTGTGGTTTAACCCTAGCTGACAACTAAGTACCACACAGCCACTCGCTCCACCTGCCCCTTCGTGGGATGGGGAGAATTGGAAAGAGATAAAGCCCAGGGTTGAAGTAATAATAATGTAATGATTGAAATGAATTAAAATATAATAATAGTAATAGTAATGAAAAGGGAAATAACAAAAAGACAGAGAGGAATAAACCCCCCCAAAAACAACTGATACACAGTACAATTGCTCAGCACCCGCTGACCGATACCCAGCCCGACCTGAGCAGTGATCGGCACCTTCCAGCCAACTTCCCCCAGTTTCTATGCTGACCATGACATTCCATGGTATGGAACATCCCTTTGACTAGTCCTGGCTGTGCTCCCTCCCAATTTCTTGTGCCCCTCCTCACCAGCAGAGCATGGGAAAACAAGAAGCCCTTGATCAGGGTAAGTGCTACTGAGTTAACAACTAAACCATCAGTGTGTTACCAGCCTTATTCCCAGACTAAAGCCCAAACACAGCACTGCACCAGCTACTAGGAAGAGAATTAACTCTATCCCAGCCAAAACCAGAACAGATGCTTCAGCTCTTCAGGTATCACTTGCTTTGGTAGGACCAGCAGAGCAAGGACAGGCAGATCCCAGCAAGGCAGTGACTGTGCCTGCACGAGTGGGAGCAAAAGGAAGGTGGCAGATCTAATCATGTAGGTTAAACCAGTATTGAGCAACAGTGGTTGCCGCACTACAGCACTACTGAACTGAGTTACTACTAAACAGGAGTCGGCTCAGTGAACTCAGTTACTACTAAACAGGAGTAACGTCGTTGCCTCCTGCCATACAAGTATAAATGTGAACTTCAAAGCAAACCCACAGAATGGGACCACTGGCTCCTGTCCTCGGGCTCCGCACATAGTCAGTGCAATCCTAAATAGACATGAGGCCTTATCTACAGTGTACTCGGTGCAAGAGTCTCTTATTTCATTCACACACACAGTCCCAGACCCTGCTGAAGTTTGAAACATCAGGCCACAGAAAGAGGAATAAACCAACCAAACGGCAGTGAGGTTTTAGGCAACGGGGATTGGGGGTTTGTTTGTTTTGAAGAGAATCTGCCAGTCACCGAAAAACCGCCACGAGGGGACACAAGAAAACCCTCCCAAAGCCCTGAGCTACAAACACCAATACTGTAACAGCCGAAGCACAATTTCCCTGCCCCAGCTCATTAACAAAACACTAATTAGCCAATTTCATCACCCTCCTCCTTGCAAGTGTGACCCAGGCCATGAGGGGAACGTTTTGCCTCCTACCAACCACTCCAGTTCTTTATTCCAGCCGCAAGGAAAGCCCATGCCCACAGGTCAGCAGAGCTCCTCAGGGATCCAGCAGCTCCCCGGCCCACTGGTGGTCAACAGTCCCTATGCCCGATGGGGAAGCAGCTGGTTCCTGATGCCCTCGGGAGCTGCAGGCCATGGAATGGCTCCACTTTAGTGGGAACATTGATTTGAGAGGAGCACAGGGATGACACTAATGGAGTAGCACTATCAGCCTGCTTTAATGCTTCCCCATTAATTTAAAGTAAGAGGTGCCAGAGGACTGCAGGGAGCTTGTTTGTGACCGCATGGAACTGACACACCATGAGCAGCAGGGACCAGATCAGCCACCACAGCTGCTTCCTGCCAGGTCAGCTCCTGGTAAAGCACATCACTGGTCCATGTGCGTGCCTGCAAGCTAACAAACTGGACCACAGGGCTAGGGTTAAACTACAAGGCCAGGTTGGACACAGGGGCTTGGAGCAACCTGCTCTAGTGGAAGGTGTCCCTGCCCGTGGCAGGGGTTGGGACTGGATGAGCTTTAAGGTCCCTTCCAACACAGACCAGGCTGGGATTCTAAATTATATCAGAAAGAGAGCAGTGACCACAGCACTGGGTTCTGTGCAAAGCATCACAGCTATAGTGCAGCTGATGAGGGAAAAACCCCCACAGGCACCCCAGCCCAGCTACAGCAGGATGGGATCATTCCCAGCACTGGGGCCACCAGCTGAACCCACTCCACTGCCCAGGCACACAGAAAAAACCTCTCACCTTGCACATCAGCAAACAAATCCAGGGGGAGAAAGACTGGAGAGCAGCACACGTGTGATCCTCAGCACCAGTCAGAGCATCACTTTGAAGAGTAAGAGAGTTTTAAACGTACTTTTCCAGAAGATTTACAAAAACAGCTAATCAGCTTCCCCTTGGAAGAGAAGAGAGTGCATTAGACACTGTTGAATACCTGCTGCTGACACTTCTCATCCAGCCCTGAGCTCTGCTTTACCGCAGAGCTTGCTTTATTTGACCTTTGCTTAAACTTTACACAGAGTTTCCAT